ATTTATTTGGTGGGCCAATCGCAGCGCTCTATTCATTTGGTAGGCCAATCTCAGCGCTCTATTCGTTTGGTGGACAGGATATTACTACGACGACCGTGGAACCACTGGAGGAGATTATGCAAAGAAGGATTCTCCAGAGAATCAAGAAAATGATGGACAACCCTGAGCATTCTCTTCACAAGACTGTCCGACAACGGAAGAGTGTCTTCAGTCAGAGGCTTCTTCAGTTTCGCTGCAACACTGACCGCTACTGGAGATCCTTCCTGCCAACAGCCATTGTAAAATACAATAACTCTTTGATGATTTGATTATTATTATTATTCTGACCTACTACAACAATCAATTTCCCTCTGGGATTAATAAAGTATTTTTGAATTGAATTGAATTGACAGATTGAAAAAACTATGATACTGACAGCTTGTTTGAAACAGCTTTGGCATCGACTTTGGAACATTTAGACTTGGGCTTTTCTTTGAGTCAAGAGCAGATAGAGGTACTTATGTCCTTCATTTAGGAAAAGGATGTGTTTACATCTTCTTCTATGGTGTGTGGCAGATTGCCCCATTGGTTAACATTGATGCAATGAGCAATTCATGTTGTTTGTGTTCCAATATCATGTTTGAAACACAAATTTAGATTCCACCGCACAACTGAGTTTCCCTATGAGTGGTGGTCAAACTGTATATTCACGTATACAGGCTAGCCGACCAGGCTAGGAAACAAGTGGACTTTTATTGTTTTCCGGAAACATGTTTTGCATCTCATCCAAGAAGTTTCTTCAGTGTTGAAACTTGAGTTGTTAGTAAGAAGCTTAAAAGATGCGCTTTGAAATAAACATGCTAATTGGCCAATACAAGTGGCTGGTGAGGTCATAGTTACTAATGAAGTGATCAAAATCACACAAGAACCTGGCCCCTCCCTACATTCAGCTCCCTGTTGGTGTCATTGGTGCCGATAATCCTCACAGGTCCCCACATTTCAGAACTGAAGAAGCTTCTTGGATGAGAAGCCACACGTCCTCGAGGAAAACAAGAAAAGTCCAGTTGTTTCCAACTAAACCTTCAAGAATTATCATTCTTGGATGACTGAGAATCTGCAGAAAAAGAAATTCTCTCTACTATTATTGTCCAGCAGCTCCTTCCTTATGGTGCTTAAAGACAAACTCACTCCTACTAGGGACAGGTGAACCCTGGCTTATACTAGACTGCACCGACCAAAACAATGGTGGAGGTGTTAGGTGACAGCAATTGTGGAGTATTACCAAAGCTGAGACTCAACTGAACTATTATTAGCATCATGTTGCATGTTAAATAACCTCTGATGCTCCTATAACAAGTTGGTGATGTGCTGTGATTACAATAATATGGGACGTAGTAAATGATTAAAATATTAGAGAGTAAAACATTCCACCATACACAAGAGCATCGGACAGGACTTTTATTCCCCAGATACTAAAAACCATGATGAAGTTGATGGCCTCCAGGCTGAGAAGAGTGTCTTGGCTGTTTATTGACTGACCCCAACGCGTCTTTTGAAAATGAGCCATTGCAGAAGTTTCCACATGACATCAGCGCAGAGGCAACAAGCTGTCACCACTCTCGTCAGGAAACATTGAACATGCCTGATCATAAATTCATCACGGCGACATCCCACAGCAAGCTCCACCGACTCGACCTTGATCGATTGCAGGCAGAGAGACAGATGGCCATAAAGGACAATCATCTATAACTGTACGCTCATTAGCATAATTGCATGCATATACAGTAGACTTCACCGTGCAAGGCCACAGCGTGCTTGCACAATCTCAGCGGGTGTGGGGTGAAGTTGTCTTGGTGGTTTTAGAAAGACATTGAATGAAGAAATTGAAATGTGTGTCAAGTGAGATTATGTGCTGTACTCAGCTAACCACCGATGATATTTGATTTTGAAATGTGTGTGTCCTTGTACAGCTATCCTACTTAGGACCAGAAATGGCATTTTCACCAATCTTCTGAAGACCGATGGTCTGTTAGGACCAAAACTCGGTCCTAATACGATGGACTCCCTGTTGTAGGCTTAGGGGTGAGGTTTACACAAAAGATATGAATTGAGTTTTTGTTACAGTTAAGTTTAGGAATACACTGGTTATGGTCACTGCAAGAGTTTGGGTTAGCCAATAATGTAATTACTAAAATGAATGGAAGTGAACTCAAAGTCCTAATACGGATAGAAATACAAGATTTTGTGTGTGTGTGTGTGTGTGTGTGTGCGTGTGCGTGCGTGCGTGCGTGCGTGCATGTGTGTGTGTGTGTGCGTGTGTGTGTGTGTGTGTGTGTGTGTGTGTGGAGAGAGTGAGAGAGATTTTTTTTTATATATATTTCATTAAAGATAACTTTAAATTAGATTTTCGATCCATGCCGAATTTTGGAAGCTCCCATCCTGATGATCGTGTTAATGTCGATACGCCAAATGAACATTTAAGTGTATTGGAGGGACAATCTCAGTACCATGTGATCCCAGACCTGTAGGGCAACTGTCTGGCATGTTTTAGTTGTCTTCCCGCTCCAAAATACCTAACTTACTTCAGCTGGTCCTCCTGTTCTGCACAAGCCTGCAGCTATTGATCCAGATTAGGAGCAGATAAAAAGAAAAAACATGGAGGTCCTCACAGACAATGACTAAACATGCAGGGGACTGGCTGCTATACTAGTAAGTAACAATTGTAGTTCAGTGAAGTTAGCAAATTAGTAAATGCTAAATATTATATTAAATATGTTGTGATGGTGTAACCTACATCTGGCAAAAATTAACTCATCTGTTCAATCCTTTCATGTTAAAGTCAATGAGAACCGTTTTTAAGGGAACCTATGTGCTCAGAAAAGTTAATGATAGTGTGTGTTGTATGCTATGAGAAGATTTGAGATGTTTCATCCAAGGTGAGTGAATTACAACTGCTTTATTCTGTGAACTCATATTTATTTATATTAATTTGATGTTTTTCATTTTGTTGGGTTGTTTCCAAACTAATTCCAACTTTGTCGGACCATTTTCTTTCTTAGTGTCTCCTGATTTTCATTTTTCTTCCAATAAACATCGCTTTGACATCCTGTCTTCTGCCAAACTCCTGGCTCTTTTTTAATCTCTAAATCTGCCTCATGCAGCCTGCTAGGACTCTAATGTAAACACACTATCTGATCATACACTGAAAAGTGATGCACCAAAGAATTGAGGGAGATGGGAGGAAGTCCATAAAAACAACTAAAACAGCAAGGGTAAATAGATAAATAAATAAATAAATAAATAAATAAATAAATAAATAAATAAATAAATACGATTCAAAACCTGCAAAGATTGGGTCATCAAAAAAGAGAGAAATCTTTATGCAAATTATTGAACTAAAGCAAACGATGGAAGGAAAAAAGCCAGAATTAAAGAGGAAGAAAGAGGTGATGAAAGCAGAGAGGTGTGGAGTTGTCCAGAGATTTATGGCAGGTTGTGAAGCACTGGCTGAATAACGCAGGGTGAGATCAGATGAATTATTCATGACAATACTGGGCTGTGAGTGTGTGTTACATGTGGGTGACGTGAGCAGGTGAAACACACACAAATGCGCACATGCGTGTCTCAAACACCCTCAGGGCAACTCAGTCGGAATTATAACTAAATATAATCAGGCAGCAGCTCAGACAGACAAAATTTCATAATAAAAATATATCATAGACAGGTAGAAATGTTTGACTAGTCTGGCTCTTTTTTCCTGCACTATGACTTACCTTTATAGTTTCTAATTATGAAACTTTACATAGACCACATTCATGACAGTGTAGCTCACTACTTCAGATAGAGAGACTTTCCTTTCTGAAATAAACAACAAGTTTGTCTTAAGTTGATCTCCCTCCCCTTTTGCATGGAGCCACTCATACTGTGCACACAAGTAACCTGTTAGCTAACAAAAAACCCCACATATGTTTCCCTTACGTTCCTGCTCAGACAGACTTGCTTCTGCTGAATTTTCTCCTCAGCCTTCATCAGGTTCTGCAGGAGCTGCTATTCACTCATTTTAATTAAATCTGCAGTTTTCAAGCAGGAAAACATCAAAAACTGGCATTTGCAAAGTTAGCGTATCCATGCTAAAATTACAACAGGCTAAAGGAATAGCCCGGTTTAGCTTCACGTTGAATGCTAGGCTCCATTGAACAAAAGATAAATCCCTTTTGGTTCCCTCCCTCCTCTTCCATGGTTAGCATGAAGTTTACAGGCGGACATTATTTCAACGCAGATCGATTTAGCATTGAAGCTAGGTTGGTGCGCTAAGCTGGCTGAGTGCCAATGTGTCACCCTGCAGCATTTGCTGGGAATTTGGGCACGTTGCTTGTTGTGGAAATGCCCCTCGATTCGTCAATGCTTTACACTTGCATTAATTATAAATTTATTTTGCTCCAGAAGCTGGGGGAGGGGCTTAACCTGCAGCCTAACTCTAACTTATTGCCCAACTAATGGATAAATATAAAAAAACATTTTATCCCACACTTAAAGCAACCCTGCAACCAATCATGTTGCCTGAACTTTTAAAACCAATAAAGTGAAACAGTGAAAACTTATTTGACCAATTTTACCTCACCTATGTTCAACAAAACCTTTTACTAAGTGTCCCTCATTTCCGTATACAGTAGGTTACTATGAAACCCTATACAACCTCAAATCATCCAAATAGGAGATGACCTCTCTAATACGAGGCTATACCTGTCCAGCTGTGGACAAGTCTACTAAATTGATTTATCTCTGACAGTCACAAAAAGACCCACATTTTAACCAGAATAAACATCTAGAGGAATCAAACCACTGTTACAACCTGGCTGTGGAGTGAAACGGTCTGTCCTGTTTTGCAAGAGTCACACATGTACAAACACACAAGATCACAGATGAAATTACCCAGCACAGCCTCTACGGGTTCGGATGAGCACATCATCTAAATTCTGATCACACAAACACTTGTGGGAAATCGTGCCTCAAACACTCACCGAGTTGATGCAGCCCAGCTCCTTGTTGAGCAGCCAGGGCAGGGAGAGTTTTCCCTCTCCTTTGTAGCACGACTGAATCCTCTCTTTAATCTTCTCCTTTATCTGCCTCATTGTGAACAAACACAAAGCTGACTCCTTGGGCGGCTTGGCTCTGTTCTTCTGACCTTGGGCAAATACAGTGAATAAAACCTCCTCGTGCTCTCGAATACCAAGCGAACGAGCCAAACGGGCTCCAGGACGGGCCAAAAAAGCATCCTGGACTAAGCGGTATTCCACCCCGTCCTTGGTGCAGCCAATGGGGAATTCAACATAAGAATAAAACTTGGGGTCATCAACACACAGGCGGACAATCTTAGAGGTAAAGAACTGTTCGCTGCTCGCATCTGGCGAAGTGAGCTGGGTGTCGAGCTGTAAGGTGAGATAATACACAAACTGCTCGCTGTTGAAACCATAGATGTAGTAGATGTCAAATGCTGGGAATTTAGAGAGCGTGTCTGAAGGGATTTTCAGCTGAGAAGACACAAACTCATCCTGGTACACAAAGCTAAACATGTCAGCGTTCTCCTCATTAGACATTAGCTTGCGACTTGACAGCGTCGGGAAGTACTCCGATTTCCCGTCGATGGGGGTGCCGACAAAAAGTTTGCCACCCCCACCAAAAATATCAGGGGAGATCACCACACCGGTCATGGTGCCCGCCTCGGCCACGCTGGATAGATAGTGCTCCTTACGGTGGTGCGGCTCACCAAGCTTAAATAAATCATCCAGACGCAGGAACTGGCAGATTCCCTGGGAGGTACTCCCACATGCAATCAAACGGTTGTGAGCAGCATCGAGCAGCAGAAGTTTGTTGATATTAGAAGTCTGAACCAGCTCGTGTGGGCAGGACTGGACACCGGGCGGAGGGTAACAACGAGGATTGTCCGTAACAGGACCGGTCACGTGGCTCCGCAGCTTGGTGAGCTCGCTGGATAGCTTGTAGATCCAGTTCACAGCACCCAGATAGACCTCCCCAGTCTTATTGTGCACCACCAAATGTGTGAGGCCTCCTTCTGGTGGTGAGAAGGAAAGAAACGAGGGAGGAGTGGTAGATGTGGAAGTCTTGGAAAGGAAGAGGAGAAGGAAGAGAATGGGAAGAAGGGGTGGATTAAGGCGAGGGGACATGATGGCGAGGAGACTGGGTGGGTGTTAGTGGTTTTGTGTGCGTAATCCGTGAACGGGTCAGTCAGTTCCTCATTAGACAGCAGGGGACAGAAATAAAAATGGCTTCTAAACAATCAGCTTTCACTTCTGGTTCCTTCTCTTGTCGAGTTTATATCCTCATGTCTTGGTCCGTCACCAGCCCTGAGAGAGAAACAATAAAAGATCAGCATAAGCAGCAGGTTTCAGTTAATGCATGCACTTTTCAACACAACAATAACAAGAACTCAAAGATAAGACACTAAATATTTACCCAGACTCATCCAGGACAGAGGGACTGGGATGCTGAAATTAATGATAAAAGAGTAACAAATGAGCGCCTTGTTTTATTGACTTTTCGACTCTTGGCTTGCACCACTCGGCCGAGTGCATCCTTTAAAAGAAGACAGGGCTAAACATTGCTCCTCTGCGTATTGATTGTCTGGAGGTATTCGAGGATTCAGCTGAAAACGCGAACACATGCACACAGGACAGTCGCGGTGAAGTTCAGCCCGTTTTAATTCTCAGGCTTCACATTTCAGCACTTAAGAAACTTTCTGGTTCTCACCACTTTCTGTGTAAAGGAAATTATAACCCCACACCAACACAAGAGAATAAATAAACCAAGATGCAGAAAAAAGATGTGAAATTTCAAAAACACTACATGACGCTTAGAGAGCCACCTTTGTCATCTGTCAACTGTGTTAGTTAACCTTAAGTATGCTTTAGCTTTCTTGACGATTTTTTTATTTAAATTTTTTATTTATATCCTAATTTAGCTTCAACATTTTACTGTCAGACAGATTCTCATTGGAATTTCCATGGATAATTCATGTAACAGCAAAACAAGCCCACATCATCAACCCTCCACAGCCGTGCTTGACAGCTGGAACAACAGATTTGTGCAGCAACATAGTGTTTGTTGTTTTTTTTAAATGGACCTGTGCATTTTGTCCAAACCTAATTTCATCTCTTTGCTCCAGAAGCCTTAGAGTGTGCACAGCTGTTTAATAAAAAGCTTGTTTTATTAGTTTAAGGGCTCGAATTTAAGTGTGATATTATCAGCATTGAAAAGAAGTTAAACAGTTTAGTGATGATAAATGGCAAATGATCCACACTTCTAAAGCACCTTTCAGAGTCAGAACTCCAAATCATTCATTCACACACACATTCACACCCTGGTGGTGAGGAGCTACAACGTAGCCACAGCTGCCCTGGGGCAAACTGATAGAGGATGAGATGGGAATTTTTGTATCCATCCATCCATCCATCCATCCGCTTATTCAGAGTTGGGTCGCGGGGGCAATAGCCTAAGTCGAGTGGCCCAGACTTCCCTCTCCCCAGCCACTTGGGCAAGCTCTTCCGGGGGAATCCGAAGGTGTTCCCTGGCGAGGCGAGAGACATAGTTCCTCCAGCGTCTCCTGGATCTCCCTTTAGGCCTCCTCCCGGTTGGACGTGCCTGGAAAACCTCACCAGGGAGGCATCCAGGAGGTATCCTAACTGGATGTCCAAGCCTCCTCAACTCCTCTCGATGTGGAGGAGCAGCGGGTCTACTCCAAGCCCAGATGACTGAGCTTCTCACCCTATCTTGAAGGGAGAGCCCATCCACCCTGCAAAGACGACTCATTTTAGCCACTTGTATACGCGGTCTCGTTCTTTCGGTCACCACTTAAGAGCTTGTGACAATAGGTGAGGGTAGGAACGTAGATCGACCAGTAAATCGAGAGCTTTGCCTCGTGGCTCAGCTCTCTTCACCACGACAGACCGGTACAACGCCCGCATCACTGCAGACGCAGCACCAATCCGCCTATCGATCTCACGCTCCATCTTTCCCTCACTCGTGAACAAGACCCCGAGATACTTAAACTCCTCCACTTGAGGCAAGACCTGGTCCCTGACCTGGAGAAGGCATTCTACCCTTTTCCGACTTAGCCGACTTAAGACCATGGTCTTGGAAATAGAGGTTGATTCTCATCCCAGCTACTTCATGCTCAGCTGTGAACCAGAACTTATAAACTTTTACGGATGGCTGCTTATACTGAGCCAGGATCCTCTGGAGGTTTCTTCCTGTTAAAAGGGAGTTTTCCTCTCCACTGTCGCTAAATGCTTGCTTACTATGAGGATTGCTGTAAAGTCACTGACACTAGTTAGTGACTCGATGCAATTTGCTGGGTTCCTTATATAGGAAACTTTTTTCTGATTGGCTTAATGAACTGACCTGTATTGGAATGTTTACTATGTGAAGTGCCTTGAGACGACTCTTGTCGTGATTTGGTGCTTTATAAATAAACTTGAATTATATATATACAAATAATTTGTGCCGAATCAAACTTCATATCTCAACACGGAGCTGCAGAGCAGGGAAATTTACATAAAATGCTCTTAAAGGAGTATTATGGAAGTTTGACAGCCAAAACATGTATAGAAATAATAAATGTCTTCTTCATACATTCTCCTGCAATGTCCTGGTCCTGTAGAATGAGCCCTGGCATTTTTACTTTGACTGCCTGTTTTTCTATAAAATCACAGAAAAAGAGAGACGCTCGGGTCGAGCAGGCTGCTTCATGCGCGTTCACGCTCAGGCATCGCCCGTAGCATTTGCTATCCGTAACTTTAGCAGCAGAGAGAGAGGCAGTGCCAACTCAGCGACTTTGTCGCTGTTCCTAACGCCTAGTGACAAACCTAGCTACATTTCTGAGGACCCTTAACTACTTTCTGTATAACTTTCTTCTAGATATTTCCTGCAAATTAGAAACAAAATAGCCATTTTCGCTCTGAACCGTTCTTTGAACGTTGTTTGAGCTGTCATCAAGGATATAAATGTTACAGATACAAAGGACATCACTGGTGCTTTAGCTCACCTAGTAAAATGTTGGACTCTCGTGCAGAAGACCTGGGTTTGATTCTGGATGTGAACATAGTTCATTTAGAGCTTCATTTTTTACATTAATGGTATATGTTTTTACAGTAAGACGCCCAAATTTTTTTATTTGAGACTCGCCGAACGGCATTGGATTCACAGATAAAAAAAGATGTGGGTTCAACTTTCATTTTGGATCAATTTTTCAAGCAAGGGAAGGGAATGATCTGAGCATGCAGGAGGACTGACCCATCATAAACCTTTGTCGGCTGTGCTGAAGAGAAAGGTACAGAACCAGTCCCTTTAAGTACTGAGAGGGGTTTACTCTGCCTTAGAAAGAAAGAAAGAAAGAAAGAAAGAAAGAAAGAAAGAAAGAAAGAAAGAAAGAAAGAAAGAAAGAAAGAAAGAAAGAAAGAAAGAAAGAAAGAAAGAAAGAAAGAAAGAAAGAAAGAAAGAAAGAAAGAAAGAAAGAAAGAAAAAGAAAGAGAGGAAGAGAGAAAGAAAAAGAAAGAGAGAAAGAAAAAGAAAGAGAGAAAGAAAAAGAAAGAGAGAAAGAGAGAGAGAGAGAGAGCTATTTGGCTTGGCATCAGTCCAATATAAAAGCAGTGGAGATGGTAAGAGAGATTGCTATAAAAAGTAAGAAAAGGAGTTTGGAAAAAGGGACGTACACCATCCATCTATTTCCCATTACAACATCCATTTATTCATTTTCAATATCTGCTTATCTGGTCAGAAAGAGAAGGCAGGCTGAGGCAGCTCCTGCAAATGCAACAGAAGGCAGGTAAATTCTTCAGAGGCAGCCCGGCATCTACAAATACCACAAACATCAACTCATCAGCGATCCTGAATCATGTCATGAGAAACAACACACGACATTTCAGGAGTATATTCTGACTGAGAGCTTGTGCCATTAGAAAAACTCTGACCAGAGGGATTCAATTAAACTTGGGATTGTTTTCTTTTATATTTTTCCCCATTAAAACACAAATTTTTCTAAAACAAAGAAAAAAAAAGGTTAGCTCTAGGCGCATTCCTAATATTGGAACTTCTGGGTAAATTTACCAGACCATCACGGGATTCGTGCGTCTCCATTTTGTTGGGCAGTTTCAGTGACGAGCCAAGTGCCTGCCTTATATTTACTCGGAAAGGCCCAGTAGCCGCTGGGTGTGACTTGTGGTGAAGTCATGCTCATCGGTTGTAAATCAGTGGGAAATAATATCAGCCGACAACACCAAACACCAAAGAGTCGGTGGGGAAGAAGATTGGAAGGAAAACAAAATAAGCCGTCATTGCTGCTTTCAAAACACCATTTCTAAACCTCGGAAGCTGAAAATACTCGATTAATCCATCACAACGCCGTAAATGCAGAGCACTGGGAAAATGGTGCTTTAACCCTCACACTGTCTTTATGGGTGACCCCGCCAGGAAAGTTGACCATTGAGCAGGATTGATGGTTTATCACTTGAGGTCCATGTGGCAGGGGTGAGGTGGTGCTCACTCCTCACCCCTGCCACGTGGACCCAAGGGATAAACCATCAACCCTGCTCAATGGTCAACTTTCCTGGTGGACACACACCCATTAGGACAGTGGGAGGGTTAACAACACACAGCTACTCTTCCCATCCCATAAATGGGTGACGGTGGCACAGGAGTTAAGTGCTCGCCCCGTAATCGGAAGGTTGCAGGTTCGAGCCTCGCTCAGTCTTTTGCTGTCGTTGTGTCCTTGGGCAAGACACTTAACCCACGTTGCCTGCTGGTGGTGGTCGGAGGGACCGGTGGCTCCAGTGCTCGGCAGCCTCACCTCTGTCAGTGCGCCCCAGGGCAGCTGTGGCTACAGTTGTAGCTCATCCCCACAAGCGTGTGAATGTGTAACTGGGTGAATGACTGATTGTGTTGTAAAGCGCCTTGGGGGGTTCCAGGACTCTAGAAGGCGCTATATCAAATACAGGCCATTTACCATTTACCATAAACATATTAAATCATGTAGAACTTTGACAGAATAAAACTTGTAATGTGGACGCCTTTTGGCGCTGATCAGTGACGTCATTCACTGTCACAATATGCTAGCATTTTAGTCCTGAATGTTCTGATTTTATATGGCGACACAGCTGCTAAGAGGACTGAGCCATTGTATTTTCTCTGTCACCTTCCAGGAAATCCCGTAGCGGAAACAGCTTCTGATTGATGGTGGAGATGCAGCTAAATGCAGCAATAATACAAACCAGGCAAACACGCTGGCTGAAACATAAAAACCTCCATCAATGATACGTTTGACAGAGAAGGGAAGCCTGTTCAAGCTGGCACA